GCTTGGTGGCTCAGCCTGTAATCCTGCGCTTTGGGAGGCCGAGGTGAGTGGATTGCCTGAGCCCTCGGGTTCCAGACCCGCCTGGGCAACTTGGCAGACCTCATCTCTACAATAAATCAAAAAATTAGCCGGGCATGGTAGGGCGCACCTGTCATTCCGGCTACTCGGAAGGCTGAGGCGGAAGGATCGCCGGAGCCCAGCAGGTCGAGGCTGCGGTGGCCGGGAGCGGCCACTGCACTCCAGTCTGGGTGACAAGATTGAGACTCCAACTCAAAAATAAGTAAATAAATAAAAATAAAAAATAAAGAAATCACTAGTCCAAATACGCATTTGATTTGAATGCTGCCTATAACGTCACTACCAAGGGGTCATCCTGACTAATGCTTGACTCACACTTCGGGGATAGTGCGCTCCCTGCTTTGAGAGGCTAAGCTGTCCTTAACTTAAAAAAAATTCCTGTTTCTGTTAAGGCACATATTTTCTTCTAGTGTCTGCCCCGGTTAGGTGGGTCTCTGGAGGTTAGGAGTGACTAGTGGACCTTTATGATGTGGGATTAAAGAGATTAAATGAGCACAGCCATGCTAAAGGCATAATCAGGTTGGTTTATGGTCTTTTATGGAGCTTAGTTGGATTGGATAATTAAGAGGTTTGTTGGGCTAAGAAGGATTGGGGGAGTTAAGAACTAAAAAATGTCACCACTGAGTTAGGAACTGTTAGAAGGCTACAGCTGGACATCTAGCAAAAATTGTACACAACATTGCAACAAGAGTAACAGAGAGAGAGAGAGGGAGAGAAAAGAGGGTGTGTGTATAGGCTCACTGCGATAATATGGAGATACAGTGATTTGGAGAATAATCGGAACTATTATAAACTTTACAATGTTTCACAAAGTATCACATAATTAGGTCCTAATTAAGAAAGGATATCATTTCTATTAGACCTGTATTACAAATAACATTATCCAAAATCTTAACGTATACATAACTTAATCAAAAGAACTGACTTCCAGACCCAGAAATCAAAGGCACTTTAAAAGTCGAGCTTGTATGAACACATTTCTCATTCAAAAACACTCTGGAAATCAGAGACAAAACCTTTTGTCTTTAATTCGGTAAAAATGACATTGCCCGAGTGATGGATTCCGAGGGGCGCTTGAAATAATACAATTTTGCTCTCTTTCCATATCTTCTGCTTCTTTTGGTGGCGAAAGGTGTTCTTTTCCAGGCCCCTTCACCCTCCCACGCCCCCCAGTTCTACCTTTCCGGGGCAGGGGAAGGCGCATCCTCGCCAGGCTCCTGCCCGCGCCCTCCTAGCGCCTCGGGCCAGCAGCCGGGGACACCGCGCGCGCTGGACATCGCCGTCCGAACGATGGCACATCGCAGCCGCGCCGCAGCGTCTCGGGATCGCTTCCCGCCGCCCGCGCTCCCCCGCCCGCCTGTCAACCGCACCGGGGGAAACGTTTTGGAACAGAAGCTCCGCCCGTCCTCCTCCCTCCGGTCTGCACAAACCAGCTCAAAACCCCCACCTCGGGCCGCCGAAGCGGGTTTCGTCACACGAAGAGGGGTACTGTATTATTTATTTATTTTTTTTACAAAAAAACCAAGCATCCAAAAAAAAAAAAAAAAAAAAAAAATTCAAACTGCACGCGCCGGCCAATGGGGAAGAAGTGGGAGGGGGCGGGGGCAGCGCGCGGGGCGGGGGCGGGGACGCGGAGCGGGGGCTGGTCCCGCGGGGGATTCGTAAAACGCGGCGGGCGCACGGTTCGGGGCTCTTTTTTTTTTTTTTTTTTTTTTTCCCCAAAACCAGCTCGGGCGCGAGACTCCGCCCGAAAGCTCAGCCTCTCGGATCCACCTTAAATCTTCAGTGGATTCAGCGAAGGGGTCAGTGGGCGCAGCCAATGCCAATCAAGTTTACAACCACCAGCACGGGAGGGGTGGGGGGGGGGAAAAGAGGAAAAAAATAATCTCCAAGCCCTCCGCTACACACACACACACACACGGACGCGCGCACACACGCACACAAAAGGCAGGAGGGGGTGGGGACAGGCGCTCCGGCGAGGGGAGGATGTTTGCGAAACGCGCGCTCGAGGCTCCCGGG